CAAAGGAAAAAAAAAAAAAAAACAGCTCCGTGCCGGTAGCTCAAGTGGCTAAGGCACCAGTCACATACCCTAGAGCTGGTGGATTCAAATCCAGCCCGGGCCTGCCAAACAACAATGACAACTACAACCAAAAAATAGCCGGGCATTGTGGGCGCCTGTAGTCCCACCTACTCGGGAGGCTGAGGCAAGACAATTGCTTAAGCCAGGAGTTGGAGGTTGCTGTGAGCTGTGATGCGACAGCACTCTACCCAGGACGACAGACAGCTTAAGGCTCTGTCTCAAAACAAACAAACAAACAAAAAAAATCTGAGTAATTAATTTCATGTCTAGGTTTTTATTTATTTATTTCAATTTTTTTTTTTTTTTTGAGATAGAGTCTCACTACATCACCTTCAGTGGAGTGCTGTGGCATTACAGCTCATAGCAACCTCTAACTCTTGGGCTTGGCTTTTCTTGGTTTTTCTTTGCCTTGGTTTTTCTATTTTTAGTAGAGACGGGGTCTTGCTTTTTGCTCAAGCTGGTCTCGAATTCGTGACCTCAAATAATCCATCTGCCTTGGCCTCCCAGCATGCTAGGATTATTACAGGCTTGAGCCACTACACCTAGCCCACTATGTCTAGGTTTTTAAAGACCATTTATAATAGACTGGCTCTTCATTGGGGAAAAAAGACATTCCCTTCTCATATCAGAATTAAGTCCTGACAAATTATAGCTTTAAACTTGAGAAGAAAAATTATGAGACTGGTATGCTAGCTCATGGCTGTAATTCTAGCACCTTGGGAGCCTGAGGCAGGTGGATTGCTTGAGCTCAGAAGTTCAAGACCAGCCTGAGCAAAAGCGAGATCCCATGTCTACTAAAAATAGAAAAACTAGGCTGAGCATGGTGGCTCACACCTGTAATCCTAGCACTCAGGGAGGCCAAGGTGGATGGATTGCCTGAGCTCACAGGTTCAAGAACAGCCCTAGCCAGAGTGAGAGAGCCCTCCTCTCTAAAAATAGCCAGGCATTGTGGTGGGTGCCTATAGTCCCAGCTACTTGGAAGGCTGAGGTAAGAGGATCACGTGAGCCCAGGAGTTTGAGGTTGCTGGGAGCTCCTGGGGCCTGGGGCAAGAGACACTCTGAGACGCTTGAGGCTAAGTGTTTAAGACCAGACTGAGAGCAGCACCCCTTGCTCAGTGGGTAGGGCTCCGGTCACATATACTGAGGCTAGTGGGTTCGAGCCCAGCCCCAGCCAGCTAAAACAACAATGACAACTGCAACAACAAAATAGCAGGGGGTTGTGGCTGGTGCCTGTAGTGCCAGCTATCTGGGAGGCTGATGCAAGATAATCACTTAAGCCTAAGAGTTGGAGGTTGCTATGAGCTGTGACGCCAAGGCATTCTACCCAGGGCAATAGCTCTAAATGCTATCTCAAAAAAAAGACCAGCCTGAGCAATATAGTGAGACTCCGTTTCTACAAAAAGTAGAAAAATTAGCCAAGCGTGGTGGTGGGTGCCCATAGTTTCAGCTACTTGGGAGGCAGAGGCAGGAGGATCACTTGAACCCAGGAGTTTGAGGCTGTAATGAGCCTCACTCACCTGCACTCCAGCCAGGGTGACAGAGATCCTATCTCAAAAAAAAAGAAAAAGAAAAAGAAAAAGGGTTACAAGAAATATGAGAGATTTTTTTTTTTTTATAATCCTGTGGTAGGAAGTATTCCAAAGTGAGATACAAAACCCAGAAGCCATAAAGGAAAAGATTGGATGATTTTAGAAAACTAAAAATTTAAAACTACTGGATGGTTAGAGATACCAGAAACTCAGTTAAAAGACAGGACAGGCTTGGCGCCTGTGGCTCAAGCGGCTAAGGCACCAGCCACATACACCTAAGGTGGCGGGTTCGAATCCAGCCCGGACCCCCCAAACAACAATAATGGCTGCAACCAAAAAATAGCCAGGCGTTGTGGCGGGCGCCTGTGGTCCCAGCTACTTGGGAGGCTGAGGCAGGAGACTCGCTTGAGCCCAGGAGTTGGAGGTTGCTGTGAGCAGTGAAGCCATGGCACTCTACCCAGGGGCTCAGCTTGAGGCTCTGTCTCAAAAAAAAGACAGGACAAATTAAGAAGCAATTTTTGCTATGTATATAAAATAAAGATGCTTAATTTATATATGTATATAAAGATTATACTTATATATTTAAATACATGTTTTGAATATATTCATATAATCCTATATATTGATACGAATATATTTAAATATTTACTAGATATAAAAAATCTTCCCAGGCAGCACCTGTGGCTCAGTGGCTAGGGCACTGGCCCCATATACCAAGGGTGGTGGGTTCGAACCTGGCCCCAGCCAACTGTAACAAGAAAAACAGCCAGGCTTTATGGCAGGTGCCTGTAGTCTCAGCTGCTGGGGAGGCTGAGGCAAGAAAATTGCATAAGCCCAGGAGTTGGAGGGTGCTGTGAGCTGTGACACTAGAGCACTCTACCGAGAGCAATAAAATGAGACTCCGTCTCCCCAAAAAAAAACAAAACTTCCCACAAGTCCACAAGTCATTAAGACCAGTTCAAGCTGTCGCCATGGGTGGAGTACCATGGAGTCACAGCTCACAGCAACCTTCTCTTGCCTCAGCCTTCCAAGTAGCTGGGCCTACAGGCGCCCGTCACAAAACCCAGCTATTTTTTTTGTTGTTGTTGCAGTTGTCATTGTGTTAGCTGGTCTAGGCCAACCCACCAGCCCCTACCCACTGAGCTACAGGTGCCACCGGGGTTTTTTGTTTTTTTTTTAATAATAGTCTTTGTTGCCCAGACTGGATGACGTCTCCTAAATTGGCCTCCCAAGTAGCTGAGACTACAGGTGACTGCCACAACACTTGGCTAGTTTTTCTGTTTTTACTAGAGATGGGGTCTCACTCTTGCTCATGCTGGTCTTGAACTCTTGGTCTCCCAGAATATTAGGATTACAGGTGTGAGCCACCTCTGAATGGTGATTTTTATTTATTTTGAGACAGTCTCACTATGTCATCTTCAGTAGAGTGACATGGTGTCACAGTCCACAGCAACCTCAAACTCTTGGGCTTAAGCGATTCTCTTGCCTCAGCCTCCTGAGTAGCTGGGACTACAGGTGCCCACCACGATGCCCAGGTATTTTTTGGTTGCAGTTGTCATTGTTTAGCAGGCCCAGGCTGGGCTGAACCTGCCAGCTTTGGTGTATGTGGCTGATGCCCTACTCACTGACCTATGGGTGCCAAGCCTGAATGGTGACTTTTTTTTTGCAGTTTTTGGCCAGGGCTGGGTTTGACCCTCTACCTCTGGCATATGGGACCAGCGTCCTCCTCCTTTGAGCCACAGGCGCCACCCCTGTGAATGGTGATTTTTAAATTATGCTAGGTGCCATGAAAAATTCAGCAAGCACCATAGCTTTTTGTTGAAAGTGTGCTACGTTAGAAACTTTTCTAAAACTTCATTTTTAGCCAAGTGCAGTGGTATATGCCTATAGTTCCAGCTACTGCAGAGGATGAGGCAGGAGGATCATTTGAGCCCAAGAGTTTGAAGCTGCAGTGAACTATGAAAACAAAACAAAATTCTAAATGGCATTTTTGTCATAGAAAATAGAAAAGAAGGCTCGGCACCTGTATACAGTGGCTATAGTGCCAGCCACATACACCAAGAGTGGTGGGTTCAAACCCAGCCCAGGCCAGCTAAACAACTGTAACAGCAACAACTGTAACACAACTGTAGCGTTGTGGTAGGTGTCTGTAGTCCCAGCTACTTGGGAGGCTGAGGGAAGAGAATCGCTTAAGCCCAAGAGTTTGACGTTGCTGTGAGTTGTGATGGCATGGCATTCTACTGAGGGCGGCATAGTGAGAGACTCTGTCTCAAAAAAAAAAAAAAAAAAAA